CTCAAGCTCAAACCAATCAGATACCATCTTTGTGGTTCAAATATTTTTTCTGTGAAGGTTTGGGTGTTTATGTGAAGGTTCAGCGACAACAAATCATCCAACGAGTAGGAGGTCGTTTCGCGGGTCACATGATGACTACGTGATCTCCCATGATCCCAACTGTATAGGTTTATATTTATACTGTATTATAAATCATTCTTTATATATAAAGTAATGTGTATTAATTAGGGATGCTCAAAAACCCGACCAACTCGATCAACCCAACCCAAAGCAAAATAACCCAACCTAAAGCAACCTGATGTCTAATCGAGTTGTAAAGTTGTCAAACCGTAGGTATTGAGTTGATATTGAGTTACTATTATTTGAACTCAACTCAATCCGATGAACCCGATATCCTTTTATTTCTTAGATTTAATATGATTGTTAAATTTTTATTAGTATATACATTAGACAATTACACTATCACGTATGCTTTTTATATAACATATTTTCAATCTATTCATATCTCTATATAATTAATTCATATATATGTTCGATAACTGTGAACATATATATGTAAATTGAGAAAATTAACTGAATGTGATATACGTAAGAAATATGGATAAGTTGCATCAAATGGTTGATGATGAAAAATAAATTATGAGTAGAGAAATAACATATTCAAGGTTAGAAAAATATTTTAATATACCAAAGTATCAACTCGTACGAATTAAGTTGGGTTAAGATTTTTTTAAACCGCAAACATTAGGTTAAATTGTACAAATATCTTCAACTCAATCCATAAACGGTCTTGATATTAATGCATATTACAATATCCAATAGTATGTCTGTATCAGTCAGCAGTATGTGGATTTTTCCCACGTGTCATATTTGCCAGACGCAGATGACGATATAGGTTTTGCGGCTGCGTCAAATCATGGCCATTAGTTTTTATGGGGCGGCGGATGGACGGTGGATTATTTTTTCTGCTGATTGCTGTCATTGCTGGTGTAGTGGACCTTAAAAATAACATTAAAAATATTCAAATCCTAGGCATGCCACGTGTACAGCTCGTAGTGGTTTGGACGGTTGGAATTATGTGTTTGGGTTAGAATCCATTTCAATCTTTAACCTTTTTCATGTTTCTTTTATTTTAAATTTACATTCTGCCCCCTAATTATAAATATATGGCAAATTAACCCCTTCAATGTTTTTCACGCAGAAATGAAATCTATTGTTAATTTTGATTAGGTGTTACAAAAAAAATGACCCAACCTGCTAACACAATTCAGAATTAACAGGTTGGATTGAGATTTTTAATCCATTTAAATAAATGGGTTGAGTTGGGTTGAATTTTTCGACCTGTTTTCATCCTATTTAAAATATTATATAATTTTATTTTATTCTTAATATCATATCTAGTATTTTAATTTTTAATTTTGTTTTATTATTAATTAAAAATCCTACCGTCTTGAGACGAAAGTCTAAATTCCAATCGCATCCATAACTATTAATCATCATGAAATGCTAATAAAATTCTTTAGTCCATTACTCCATTTTTTAATTTATTTTGAATAATATATTTGTTATGATTGTGTTTTATTCAAACTTTGAACAATTTGTTTGTATTTGTGGTTGTGTTGTGTTTTATTCAAAAAAATTAAATAGTCTAGTCCTTTTTTTTATTTAAAATTTTAAAATTAAATGGGTCAACCCATATTCAACTCATTTATTTAACAGGTTGGGTTAAAAAAATCGTAAACAGGTCAACCCATTTAGGTAACTGGTTGGATTAGGTTGAAAAAACTCAACTCATTTAATAAAATGGGTTAAGTTGGATTGAGATTTTCAACATGTTTAATAAAATGTATTAACCCGAATCCAACCCAACCTGACCCATCATCACCCATAATTTTAATATCAAAGGCGGAATCATGAAGGCCCAAGCAGGGTCATGTGTTGCCGTTCAATCGAGTTTAGCAAAGTTGAAATTATTCTGGGGTTTGAAAAATGCATCGCTAAACTTTAGAAGATGCTTTGAGATACGGGAAAATAAAATAAAACACATCGAACAACTTTGCAAGTTTTTTATCCTTTGTATTATTATAGTTAAAACACATTCTTTGGCATCCAATGTCAGCTCTGCCTCCTTCGATGGTGCACACTTACCAAACTACCATCTTCATACATCTGGGTCTGGTATCAACGCTGTCTAAACCACCAACATCAGTATGTTTTTTATTTGTATCTGATTTAGGGTTTTCTATATAGATCTAGTGATTCTGATTCAAGGTTTGTTATCGATTTTACTGATGAAGGAGATGGAAATTCATAATGACTCAGATTTATTATTTGAGAATCCATAAAATTGTGATAAGTCTAAGCCGCAAGTAACGTTTTGCCCTTTTCCACAAATATATAGCCATCGATGTGTTTTCGATTCCTTTTTTTTATAAAGGAATGAAAAGGAAGGAACGTAAATAAAGTTTGTGTTCTGAAAACCATTTTCGGGGGAAAAACGAAAGGGAACAAAAATAAAATAATTATGAGTTTTCTTCCAAATGTGGGAGGAAAGTGAAGAAAATGAACCAATGAGTTGTTTGTTTACCTCTTAATAGTTTCATTAAGAGCCACAATCCGAATCGTTAAGATCTGAATCTTGTTTGGCAAACAAAAGTTCGCATCTTAATGGTTCTAAAACCGTCTGAATGATTTTGTATCATGAGCATTCCTTAACCATTCAACTCTCTAGTTTCATTGTAAACAATTACCAAACAATCATATTCTATTTTGTACTATATCATAAAAGCTTCTTAATCATTATGACCACTTAATCATTATGACCACTTAATCATTCAGCAACTGTCAAACAACCTTTAAAACATTTTAAAAATATTATTATAAATTACAAAACTACCAAACTTTTCGTTATAAAGAACATGTTTTTAAATGACGTATTTATAAAAATGACATTTTTCCTATTATTTCTCTCCTGCTTAAAAACATGAATTTTTTTCTTTATTTTGTTTTTCTTTTCTTTCGAAAACATAAATAAAAAAATTATTTTCATTTTATTTTTTTCCCACCCATTTCTTTTATTTTAACTCCAAATTTAAAAACACAACATAATTGATCTAGATTAATAATTTTGGTAATTGTTGCTTTGAATCATTGATATGCATAATGAATATATCAATATTCATTATGAATATTTGGTTTATTGCTTCTTAAATTATTTACGGTTTGAACCGATGAATGATTGATTTTAAGTAAATTAATTATATTATCTATTACAAAAAATTTGTTAATGAATTTGAATATAATAATTTAAATAATTGATTAGTTTTATATAAATCCAAAAAACCTAAAACCTATTTTAAAGATGAAAATATACTTTAAAACCTAAAAATTAATATAAAAATGAATAAAATAAGACTTGAAGTGGGGGCCACCAAAAGAAAAGGGAAAGTGGTGTAATTGGATTGTGGGGTCACCATGGAATCCTTGTACTTCATGTGAAGGAGCCAATACCAGAAGAGCATTTCTCTCCATGAGTTGTCACCCACTCCCACCCCTCATCATCCATCATCATACATGTACTCCCACCATAATACATAAATAAATACATACATATATATATATATATATATATATATATATATATATAGAGGGGTTGGTTATTATACAACTCTGGTCATTTGTGCAACCAATACAACTCAATCTCAACCGTCCATTTCATTTGATTAATAGGTGATTTTATAGATATTTTGATTATTTCCTAATATAAAGTATTAATCATAATTAATGAACCGTATTCATCTTCCATAAATATTTAAATCATAATAAATGAACTCTAATCATTTCCATAAATATTTCAATTTATTGGGTTGCATTGGTTGTACAAATGCAATAGGTTGTATTTGAAATAAACCCTATATATATATATATATATATACAAATATAGACTGGGATTATATGAGACGAGTCTGTTTTCGTGAGATACATAATACCACTTTTTTACATTTGAAACTTCACAGTAAAACGCTCGAATGTGACTTTCACAATGTTTTTGTTTTGAAGGTTCGACTTTTTTTACGTTCACAGTTGTTGTGAAGTTTCAAGTGTAAAAAAGTGGTATCACGAAAACAGACTGGTCTCATGTGAACCGATCCTATATAGATATACACACACATATATACAAACGTACATAGAAGATGTTTACTTTGCAAACCATGTTATTTGTACAAATTTAATTCAACCATTCATAATTTTTCATTTTGTTCATTTTTTTTTGTAATTATGAGAGATTGATTAATCATTTTTATTGTGAATGGTGTTAATCATGAATATTATCATCTTCATTATATTAATTTTTAAAAAAATACATGAAACAGTTTCATTAAAATTTCATAAGTATTCTATGAAACAATTTCGTAACCATATCTGAAACAACTTCAAAAAAAGTATCATATGAAACAATTTCATTAAAAAATTTAGTAAGATTAAACAATAAAATCGACGGATAAGGATGATTTACACGGTTTGTACAAATATGAGTGATTTGCATTCGATCAATCATCTACATATGTGTGTGTATATATATATTGGTTATTTTGTTAACTTAATAAATGATTATAATTTTGTGAATCAATCTTAATCTTAAAACCAAAATTATAAAATTAATTTTAATCAGGTAAAATACAAAAAATTTAATAAAATGATGAAAATACTTCTCATTTATCGGAACTTTTTAACACCCGTTACAAAAAATAACCAAATTCGAACCTTGTTATAAACCACGATAACCATCTTGTAATTTTAAAACCGTAACAACCAAAAGTCACATGGACCAAGTTTATAGTTCACTCAAGGAATTATTACCAAACACTTGAAGAAAATCACCACTCACCAAAGCTCAAGTTCTTTCTTTAAGCAAAAAATAATCCACTTTCTCAACTATAAAAACCCCATAAACCCCATCCATCATCTTCACAAACACTCACTACCCCTAAATCTAGAGAGAGAAAACCAAAAAAAAGGCTTCAATCTTTGATCAACAATGGAGGGCAAAGAAGAGGATGTTAAGCTTGGAGCCAACAAGTATTCAGAAAGACAACCCATTGGAACATCGGCTCAAACCGATAAAGACTACAAAGAACCACCACCGGCACCATGGTTCGAGCCAGGCGAGCTGTCTTCGTGGTCTTTTTACCGAGCCGGAATCGCTGAGTTCATAGCCACTTTCTTGTTTTTGTACATCACAGTCTTGACTGTTATGGGTGTGGTTAAATCACCCACTAAATGTGGAACTGTGGGTATTCAAGGGATTGCTTGGGCTTTTGGGGGTATGATCTTTGCACTTGTTTACTGCACTGCTGGTATCTCAGGTATGCTTTTCTTGAAAACACTCTTCTTAAAAGCCTGTTTTGTCTTGGGAAATTGATAGAAATAACCAAAAACACCTTTAAGAGTGTGTGATCATGGTGTTCTTGTGATGTTTGAAGTGTAAATTTTGGCATATTGTTGAGTTCATGAATGGTGAGTGATTGAGTGATGGGTTTAGATCTTCTTGATGGTTTGCTTCTGAATTTTTGGATGATTTCTTGATTTCAACTTTGATAATATCCTCTTTTTAGGGTTTTTTTTCCCACTTGATCTAGTTTAAGTTCTGTAATAGGTCTCTTTGGGAATCACTGTCACTAGTTTGCTTCAAGTTGAAGACAAGATTTTCTTGGATTCTCCATTTAATTTCAAGAAAACACTCATTTCCCCTACTTTTCAGCTTTTTGTTCCTGATATCTGTCTTTGGGTTTCAATATTAATCAGGCTCTCTGCTAACCCTCTTTGAATTAACCATAATTGTACTGATTTGAACCAAATCTAAGCTTGATATGATATGGGTTTGGATCAAAAAGCTGATCTTTAGTTAGTTGACAAGGTTTTCTTGGATTTTCCATTTATTTTCAAGAAAATACCCAATTCCCACAGTTTTCAGCCTTTTGGTTTCAAAAATTGATCTTAACGGGACTTGCAACTTATTAGGTCAGCTATACATGACTGTTTGGTAGTAGATTAATGATATAACGAGTGACTTATTCAGTAAGTTTCTAGAGGGAGCTTTATGCAGAAAGCCGGGCTTTTTTTTCCAAACTTGACCCTCCCAATTCAAAAACACGCTCCTTCCGTTTATGAAAAGATCCTACCAAACAAAAACGTCCCTACTTACGCAAACAGTTCAATCCACACAGACAACTTTATTCATTCAGGACTTAATTGAAAAACCAACCAAACAGCCCCTTAGCTAGCCATGGCTAGCGGAGGGGTTCAAGCCTGTCACCGGCAGGATTCGAACTTGAACCTATTGCGTATTCGAACAAAGTCGCCCCGCCCCTTTTGGTTTCACTATTAATCTGTTTTCTACTAACCCACTTCAGATTAACAAGAATCTCACTCAAATCAATGCTTGATATGATATGGGTTTGGGTCAAAATCTAATCTGTCTTCTTTCTTGATGTAAAACAGGAGGACACATTAACCCAGCTGTGACCTTCGGTTTGTTACTGGCTAGAAAACTATCCTTAACAAGGGCACTGTTCTATATGGTTATGCAGTGCCTTGGAGCCATTTGTGGTGCAGGTGTGGTCAAGGGGTTTGAGGGCAAGACCCAGTACAATCTTTTGGGTGGTGGAGCCAATGTTGTAGCCCATGGCTACACCAAGGGTTCAGGTCTTGGTGCTGAGATTGTTGGAACCTTTGTGCTTGTTTACACTGTTTTTTCAGCCACTGATGCCAAGAGAAGTGCTAGAGACTCTCATGTTCCTGTATGTATACTCTTCTCTTACCTCATAATTGCTTTAATTGTTGCTCTTGACCTCGTAGAGTCTCGTAGTTTGGCTGATATGCTAACTGATGAACTAAAAGTCAGTAGTTTTTGATAACTGTGAGATCCAATTTCCAGATTAAATAAAATCTTGATTTCTTGGATACCAATTTGATCTTGGTCTTAAAGAATTCATCTTTTTTGATACCCAACAAGTGGTTTTTGGATAGGGCTCATTGTTTTCTTTGTTATAAAGAATGTCTCAATCATTTCATGTGAAATGACTAAATTACCCTTTGTGGGTGTGGGGCAGGGGAATCGTGAAAGTTTGTCAAGTAGCTTTACGTCTCTATCTTCTTTTGTCTTGGCGTGTTAGCAATGATGATGGTCTGTGCAATGCGTTTCTCTTTAGTGCTTTCTTGGTCATCATTTCTTCTTAAAGTGCAAGGTCATATTTGTCAATTACTATAAATATGCTAAACCATGGGCCCATGTCATTGAGGGTACAAGTGTTAAAAAGACAGTAGAGGTCTGTATGCTACAGCTTATTCGGTCAATTATACATGAATTGTTTTCTAGTGGCTTAATGATATAGAAAGTGGTTTATTCAGTAAGTTTTTAAGGAAAGCTTTATGTAGAAAGCCAAGTTTTTCCAAACATGCCCTCCCAATTAAAAAACACCCTCCTTCGATCTATGGAAAACCCTCCCAAACAAAAACAGACAGATTAATTCATACAGACAACATTATCCCATTTGATGAAAAACCAACCAAAGAGCCCATAACTCATCCAAAATGGTTTGGTCCTTTTCGGGTTTGGCGTTGACTGATAAGCTTGATAACAACGTAAAATGACCTAAAAAGACGTGTTAGAGAAAAAAGATCCTAAAACTTATTGAATCGCCCTTTGAAGTAGCGTTTCAAAAAGTTAGTTTATGACCAACCAAAATAATCTATTTCGACAAGCTCAAAAAATAAGTTAATTTATAGCTACCAACTTCCTTGGTGGGTTGCATCTCATTCGCCGAAATTTTGCAGATTTTGGCCCCTCTCCCAATCGGGTTCGCCGTGTTCTTGGTTCACTTAGCCACCATCCCCATCACCGGAACCGGTATCAACCCCGCAAGAAGTCTTGGAGCCGCCATCATCTTCAACAAGGACCATGCATGGGACGACCACGTAAGTCGATCGTTTCGTTACATAAACACATCAAGATTAAATTTTGAACTAAAAAGATATAATCTTGATCAATTTTAAAGTATGATGAAATGTTGGCTAAAAGGGTAAATTTGTCTTTTCAATTTGCAGTGGATCTTTTGGGTTGGTCCCTTCATTGGAGCTGCACTTGCTGCTATGTACCATACCATTGTCATCAGGGCAATTCCCTTCAAGAGTAGATCCTAAATTTTCAAAGGGGTTTTGTTTAAGTGTGTGTGTGTTTGTGTGTGTAAATTATGTCCTAAAATGGATGCTATTTGTATTTAAGGTTTCCATGTTTGTGTATCAACTTATCTTTCATATAATGAATGACCCTCGTTTGAGAACTGGTTTCAGAGCAGTTTGTTTCGGAAACTAAAGCTTTTAATTGGTCGAGAACTGGTTTTAGAGCAGTTTGTTTCGGTTTCTAAAGCTTGTAGTTGGTCAAGAACTGGTTTTAGAGCAGTTTGTTTCGTATATGAATTAAGTCGGTTGTAATGATTAAACTGTTTGTATAAAATTAAGATAAATTATTATTTGATTTTGTATTGAATAAACATTCTGAACGTCTAATTTATGATTTTTAATCCTTAACAACACATTATAGACTTAATTTATTTTCTAAAAATCATGAAACTCTACATATTACTATTAATGGGCCTAAGCCCATCAATGGCCCCTTGAGAACCTAAACCAAAACCAAAATCAAAACCACGGCACATATAATTGTCTCTGAGGTAGTCAAAATCGGTCAATAGTTGGGCCAGACTGGCCTAAATCGGTCCCAAAATAGTGATTTCGTAATCGGTCCGGGCATAATCAATCCCGACACAAATACGAAGGCCCGGTTAAGATGTATGAGACCCGATTATGAGAACTGGTCCTGGGCTGATTCCAAACCGGTCTTACGTAAAAAAATCGATTTTTATGTAATTTTTTAAACTTTTCTTTAAAGAATATACAAAAGTGTTATTCTAATGTAACTGAAAATATATAATTGGGTCAATTAAATACACATAAAAATACGTTTTTTTTTGTGAGAATTGTGAATAGAGGGTAAATGAGATAATTAAATACACTTAAAAAATATGTTTTATTATAATTTTGTAATTGGTTTTCAATCAAATACACTTAGAAAGTTAGAAATAAATTTAAAAATACATTTTTTTTGGAAAAAAGGGGCCGGTCCCAGGTCGTGCCGGTCCGGGCCTTGTTTTTTGATGAAAACCGTAATCGGTCCTTAACGACGGTCCCAATCAGTCCCAGGTCTGGCCAGTCCCAAGTTGATCCCGATTCCGGTCCTCTGCCGATCCCTAGCCCTCTTGCATAATTACTATAATGGGCCTAAGCCCATCAACTTTATGACACTTAATATTTAAGTCATCGATAAACGTTGATTAGGATCTGATTATCTTATATGCTAATGCTATGGATTTTTATGGTTTGAGCAAAAAAGGCGATCCAACTGGGTCTCATACGAAACCTGCCCTCCAAAAACTGCATTCTGAGGGGGTATTTTTTTGGCTCATTTAGCAGTTGAGGCTAGCGGAGGGTCTGGGATCGAACATGGGACCTATTTTGTGTTTGAACAAAGTCGTCCCTCTCCTTTGCCAATTGAGCTATACAGTGGAGGCTAGATTTTCATAATTAACTCCAAAGGGAAAACTGAATTAAAATATAACAGTTTTTCAATTTCATTTGTATCTTGAGAACCAGCTTTTATTTTGAGAAACCGACTTGTAAAATCTTATTATTTTGAAGAACCAAAAGAAACCGACTTATAATACATTGAGGACTGTTGGACAATACTAACAACCAATCGGATATCAGTTTAACCACGTCGTTTTGACGAAGGTAAAGAAATTGTAGAGGTCGCATCAAGTCCAACGAAGAACCAAAAAGTACGAGGGGGAAGTAATCTGGTGACGGAAAAATTGAAGAACTTTTGAGATTTTCCGTCAAGATATGTTTGATTCAATAAAAATGTAACTCAATAATGAGTTAATGACAACTGTGACGGAAAAATTGGAGAAGTTTGAAGATTTTATTGTAGTTAAGCGACTTGGACGAGGATGCATGAATTTAATTAATTTGCACAAATAGACTTTTATTTTACGAATAAACATCTAAAATACGTAATATATATAAGATCACATCAGACCAGCTTGTTTTCGTGAGACCCGTGAGACTATTTTTTTACACTTGAAACTTAACAGCAAAACACTATTAAGGTATTTTATAAGTATATAATATTTACATACGACAAATAGAACAAATAAACTCACACACCCTCCTTATCTTTGATGAAATTTGAATCTTTGACTTCCTAGGAGGCCAAAGACTCATATACCGCAAGACCAAAGACTCTTTGGTAACCTTCACAATATTTTTGCTCTGAAAGTTCGGTCTTTTTTTTTTACCTTAACAACGTTTTGCTATGAAGTTTCAAGTATAAAAAGTAGTCTCACGAAAACAAACTGGTTTCACGTGAATCAAACCCCTATATATATATATATATATATATTCAATAACTGATTGAATTAATTAACTAATAATTAAATTATATTTTAAAAATGTGAAATTTTTGACCAATTAGCATCCAAATGAGTTGATTTTATCTATAAATCAATCGAAAGAGTAAAATAATCATAAAAAAAAACCGAGTGGCATCCAACGTGTATTAAAAAATTGATTTTAAGAGTAAATTACGCTTTTAATCCCTATGGTATGTTAAAATTGCACTTTCATCATTGTAATTTCAAAATTGCAAATTTTATTTATATAGTCTGCAGTGTTGTGAAGGTAAAAAAAAGTCGTACCTTCACAACAAAAACACTGTGAATGTTACATTCATAGTGTTTTACTGCTAAGTTTCAAGTGTAAAAATGGTGTCTCACGAAAACAGACTTATCTCACAAGATCTCAAATATCTCTCTCTCTCTCTCTCTCTCTCTCTCTCTCTCTTTCTATATATATATATACTAGTTGTGTACCCGTGCAATGCAGTAAGAGCCATGAATTTTAACGATTTTGAAGTTCCACTGGTTTTATAAGATAAGATTTAACGATGATATATGTTACACTTGGTCTTTACATATTAATACAATTTGAATAAATAAGAGTTATAGTTCCAATTACAAACTATCGAGTGTATGACAGTTTAAAATCCAATATATTTAAAATCCAACATATTTAAATGATTCCACAAATGTGTTCATTTTACACCAAAGCAAAGAACCAAGAAACTTGAGTTTTAAGATAAACACTTACAACCAATAAAGAAAACTACAAATTTGACAGATCATAAACCATGAAAAGACAAAAAAAAAGTATATATATATTTCAAAAAAGTATATATATATTTCAAAAAAAGAAACTTGAGTTTTAAGATTAAGGTTACATGTATATATTATATATATTTCAAAAAAAAACCCAAGAACATATTAATTTAGAACATATTATACAATGCAATTTGAACAGCCTAACCCCAAAATATATAGTATATACATAAACAAATAACTATAAAAGTATAAATCGTAAATATTAAAAATATTTTTTCACAGTATATATAATATATAATAATATAATTAAGTCAAAAACTATTTAATATTGGACTCATTTCGAAGGTATTAACGAGACGATTATAATGGTGTAACTTGTTAAAATAAAAATGTATTTTTT